TAGCTGTTTTGGGTTATGATGCTTGTCACATGTATCTGCCTACTGAGGTCTTATAAAACTCATTAGTTTCAAGATGCCACAAGACTTTTTGTTCTTTTTATCTGGCCAGACACAATCATCAGAAGTTTATGGAATAGAAGCTTCTGAATATTCACACTGAACCAAGGGAAGATACTTGGTCTGATTTGTGTCTCTAATTGTTCATTTATGTTCCTATCACAGATATACAACAGATAACGCATAAATATGCCTCCATCCACTGTTAAACAAAAAAGCATTTGAAATTGCAGCTTGTGTAAGTAGCCTCATGAGATCACTACAGTGGCTAGTTCCATATAGCCCCAGAGGATCAACGTATAAATATGCTCCACAAGGAAATTACATATTTCAAGAATCCATATAAACATTGGAAAATGGAAAGCAGCAGGAAAAGAGGAAGATTTCATATGAGGCATAATTGCCTCAGCAAAGGAATCCATGGCTCTTAAATTGCAAAACTTGAATAGGGCTGTTAATGACGGGATCTTTTGGTGGTCATTAATTCATGAGACCACCATACATGAGACATATGTGAACAACAAAATGACTGCAGATGTGCACTACATTTTCTCATAGCTCAAGACGGCTCTTCTGAATCTCTTTTAAACTGTCCATTGATATAAAGACATACATACAAAAAATCTGTAGCAGAATGAACATGCCTTAAAATATATTGTCATGATATCTTTAACACTAGAACACTGGTACTTCCTCATTTCCTTTTCTGAGAAGAACAATGGATGTGTATTTAATTGGGTGTGTATATATGGAACTGTATGAAATCTGTCTGTCTGTCAGTCCGTCCTCCCTCCCTCCAGGTATCTAGTTGTCTTGTGTGCTCCCAGAGGCATGTGGTGGGGCCACTGTGAGATACAGGAAGCTGGACTAGATGGGCTCTTGGCCTGATCCAGGAGGGCTCTTCTTGTCTTCCTCCCTCGCTCCCTCCCTCAAGCTACAAGGAAAGGACAATGCCTATCTCTAAATATGTCAGATATAGATGGGAAACCATTGGCCTTCCAAATATTTTGCACTACAACCCCCACAGTACTTTAAGATTGGCCTTGCTAGCTTTAGTTTCTGAGAGTCAAAGCCAAAAATATCTGGGGAACAGGTAAAAGTTCCCACAGCAGTCTAAGGGGTTTATCCAGTTGCAACAGTCATATGAAAGTTTGGTCCATCTGGAAGGGGGAGTAGGTCTTGAACGTTTGCTGGAAGGTCTCTCTGTCCTAGTCCCTTCACTCTGCCCTTGCAATGCTTTGTGGTGACCCTGGATGGGAAGGCTTCATTGCCAAGCCAGGAGCAGCTACTGTACATTCATTGTTGCTTTTCCTGCCACTGTTGATACACCTCTTCTAATGTTTGTGAAGCTCCCAATGTGGCAACCAGTGAGCAGTGTTTCCTTGATCGCTAGCATTCTTGGCTCTCCTTAGCAGTCACTCAAAAACGTGGAGTGAAGCTAAGCCTTTTTAGAACATGTGAGGAATTAATTCCAGAGAAGTTGCATTTATATAATGAACTAGTTTTTTTCCCCTACTTTAACCCAAGATATTACAAGATTTTCTGTGGGATGGTGAGCATAGCCCACACATACATAAATGTCCTTAGGTTTTTATAAAAGGTTTAAATATGTCAGATTCTAAATTGTGCTAGCACGCTTTCATTTGATCAGTGACAATGTCTGTAACATATATTTATTACATATCTGTTCCATCACTTGATTAATTTTTGTCTTACCAAATATATAGTATATATGTAGTATATATAACAGTATAAAATTTGGTTTCCATGATAGTAGCCATTGTAAAATGTGATATATTCTGGATAAGAACTAAACAGCCTCTTCCGTTTAAAATGGAGTTCTCTGAAGTGTTGTTTGTATTTTTACAGAAGTATTAAAATATTGCCCCATCCTTTCATTTTCATGGTGTTAGTGCAGTCTACCAAACACCATTTGTGAGCAGTCCTTACAGTTTCCTAGTAAGTCTGAAGCAGGGTTGTCATACAAACTGCAACATATTCTTGTTCTAACCATCCACTTCATACAGAAAAGTACAGAATTTGCCAGTCCATGGTATTTCAATTGTATGTTGCTTTTTTCCAATGCTGTGTGTGCTTTAAGCATGTGGATTACAAACATACACCCATCAAGGACAGGTCTAACTTACTCCTCAAAGAATCTTAAGCCAGCCAGTGTAGCTGGTTGTGCCTTTATCACTCAGGTCATAGATAAAGAGGCATTTAAAGCCTGGGGAGGAGGTTTGCTGTGAGATAAACTCTAGTCTGCAACCGTGAAAGCTTTCCCATGTAACAGGGACTCTGCTTTGCAGACTGGCAAGGTTTTGCTTGCCAGAAAGCTTTTGCAGGCGGGAGGGGGGACAAGTAGAAGAGACTTCCATCAACTTTCAGCCCCTTTGTTTTGGCCTAATCTGAGGCTCTTGGTTCTACCCACTGCTGGAATGCAAGTAACCAAGCCCCTTCCCAAATTGTGATTGAGACGCTGCCCCCCTTCCCGAAAATTCTGTGGGTTAGAGAAGGCTAGTGTAATAGGTTTGCAAACAATATTTCTCTAATGGTTGTTGTGGTTTTTTTGGGCTCTTTGGCCGTGTTCTGAATGTTGTTCTTCCTAACGTTTCGCCAATCTCTGTGGCCGGCATCTTCAGAGGACAGAGGACAGTGCTATCCTCTGAAGATGCCGGCCACAGAGACTGGTGAAACTTTAGGAAGAACAACCTTCAAAATATGGCCAAAGAGCCCGAAAAACCCACAACAACCATTAGATCCCGGCCGTGAAAGCCTTCGCGAATACAATATTTCTCCAATTTCAGTCTTGCCTTTTTCATGAAGTTACAAGGGTACCTTAGCCAACGGTGACTTCTTCGCTCCTCCGTCCACAAATCTGGTCTGGTGTCACAGATAGGGAGACCCAAGTGTGAGAAAGAGAGAGGGCCAATTGGTTCTGTCCTCTACAGCCCCAAAACCTGAAGGGTTGACTAAAGAAAATCCTGTGTTAACGAACTTCAGGGCAGGAATTACTTATTTTAATATGGGAACTCTGGAATGTTTGGGGAGGGAAAAAAACCATTGGAAGAGAACAGTTTGGCAGGTGAAAGGGGGGAATAAAGGGGGAGTAGTGGAGGCAATTAGGACAGTTGCTGTGGAGTGCTGGGCAAAGGAGGAGGAAGAGGAGGAGGAGGAGAAAGTGGAAGAAGACTGGATAGAAATAATAAAAGAGCATCCATGGACAGGAAAATGAGTCCCTTTTAAGGTACCAAGAGAAGCTGCTGAAAGCAAGTAGAGGGGTGAGAAGGTGTGAGAAGAAACAGGAAAGAGGGGAAGAAGGAACAAGAGCGTTCAGAGAAAGGGAAAGAATAGAGAAAATAGGACATGCCTGACTTCCCCTAGGATCAGTCTTGAGAGGAGACCATTTCCTTCACAAATCGGCAGCGTTCCAGGCAAAAACGTTTGGGAACCAAATATAGATTGGGTATTTCACCACTAGATCATGGAGTTAGCGGCGGCTGTCTGTGGAGCCAATTCATTATTACCTGTTTCATGTTCAGTTAAAATCCGTGAGGTTTTAAAGAAAGGACATTCAACGCCTATAGGCAATGTTTTAATTACCAAGTTAGATAAGGCTGAGGTGACAAATATTTCTACCATGTTTAATAAACCTATTTGAATTTAAACTGGAAACTATGAAGGAACTGGGTTGGAAACAGAGGGAGCTCACAAAATCCTCACACCAAGATAAAATTTCCCAATCAAACATTAACATCTCTGGCTGACACAGTGCCAATCGGTTCCACTTTCTCCTATCTCATCATGATTTTGGGAGCCAGGCATTTCTGGTTTAGTGCAATGAATAAAATATGACAAAATAAGTCTGAACAATATTACAAGTTTGTCACAAAGAATGCCAATATCACTTTTTTATCTCTTCTACAAGGGCTGCATTAATTGCCCGCTTGTTTCCAGTCACAGTTCAAAATGTTGTTGGTAACCTTTAAAACACCAGATGGCTTAGCTTCATTATGCCTCAGAACAGGGTGGGTAATCACCATAAGTAACCTGTCCAGAAATCATCCATGAACATTGTAAGCTTAGGCTTGTATCCACTCCTCTGGCTTCTACCCAGATTTTTTCTGTTGCTTCAAAAAACAGTTTTAAAAAATAAATAAATAAATACCTCCTTTTGTCCCCAGAATTTTTTTCATTTATTTTTCAATGGGAGTACAGAGCCCCTCAGAATCCCCAAAAAATCAGTTCCAGGGGGGTTTGGGAGGAACTTCTCCACTAAATACAATTAGGATGATGCTTGGGGGGGGGGGCTGCAGGTAGTGCACAGGCAAGGTGTTTTTCATGCGTGCCTTATAGGCCATTCCTGTCTCTTCTGGTCTGCTTGCTCCAAATGCCCTTCAGTCTTTTTATTATTATTATTATTATTACTCAAAAAGTTGTCTTGTGCCCCCCTAGGTGGCTTGAGGGCAATCCTCTGGGTGCAGCTGCTAAGTGGACTCCTGCTGAAGGGGGCGGGGCACCTAACCACCAGTCAGCTGTTTGGCCAGGAAATGAACTGCACCGAATCAGCAGTTCGTGTCCATCTCTAGTTGTGGGGCGTTAATTGCATTTTAGGCCATTTTAAGGTATTTTGCAAACATGGCAGTGTTTGTGGCTGATGACACACTATGATTGTGCTGATAGTTGATGGTTTTCTTGCCGAGCAGAAGTGACAAGCCCAAACCATCCTCCAGAAATGGTTTAATATTCCTGAGGAGTGCAAGTTATATTTCCTCAGACCTCTTGTCAGTTTGCATGTCATTATTCATGCCATCCACCACTCCTGTTTCTTTCTTTGGCTCCCTTTGAAGGTCACCCTTCCTGTGATGGTGGCAAAGGTTTGCTTAATTTCTTTTAAGCTATGCTTGCTTGTGTTTCAATGCCTCCCTCAACCTTGTTCTCAGGTACGTGGCTATATCCCGAGAGGAGAGGGAACAGAACCTGATGGCCTTTCAGCACAGCGAACGGATTTATTTCCGGACCTGTCGGGATGTCCGACCAGGGGAGAGGCTGAGGGTCTGGTACAGCGAGGATTACATGAAACGATTGCACAGCATGTCTCAGGAGACCATCAACAGAAACCTCACAAGAGGTGGGCATTTTTCTTTCTTTCTTCACTCTCACTGATTTTTTAAACATTTTGGGTGTGCCCATCAGTCAGATGAAACTACTGTACGTGTAGCTGTTTAAAAATGATATATCCAATGAAACAAAGGGTTCTTTTTAAAAAGTTACAAAATGATAGATTGAAATGAGCAGACAATGAGATTGAAACAAACCCATCAAATAGCACTTTATGTGTGAGTACGCATCCATGTGTGCATGGTTGTGTGTGTGTTGTTTCATTCAGTGTATGCATAGGATTCAGAAGCATCAACTTAAAAGAGGTGTTCTTTGCTTACTGGGTTTTCCAGCTTCCCACATATTTTGTGATGCCCTCTTCCATTTGCACCATCAGAACTAGGGAATGCTGGCTTCTTCCTGCTGTACTCAAGGAAGGACCGGCTTGCAAGAGACATTTCAGAGGTGTGTCTCATGCTCTTCAGCATATCCAACAGCAATGGAATGTGTTGGGGCAAAGAAATCTGGACAAACAAAGCTAAGCCAAGGGGTTCCCTTATCCCTCTGCCTGCTTCCACACACCAGCATGGGGTTTCCACAAGAAAATAGTCTCAATGGAGTTGTGGGGGTGGGAGGGGGGAAGTGGTGTATGAATTGAGCTTGTAATACAAAGCAGTGTTTGAAAATGCACTTAGAACCTCGACTGAATTTCAAGTCCCTTCTGTCCCTATGAGGAACGCGCATTCACTTGTGCCCTGTTCTTTTGTGGTCTAAGCCCTTGTTTCCAGACTTTTTCTCTATGCCTTCGAAGATGTTTAGCCGCACCTTGTTCTGTCATGCAGGAAATGAGATGACAGAGCAGAAGAGAAAACAATGCTCTAAACAGTTACATAGTTCAATTAAAAATAATCTGTTCTTCGTGGCCTCTGTGAATCACACCCTGGGTGATTCGCAACTGTGTGGAGCCTCATTGGAAGACTCTAGAGTTTCTGCGGTAGCAATAAACACATTAGAATATGCCCCTCCCCACCCGTATAAGTACTGTACCTTGGAGCCAAGCGTCCCCTTTCAGTTTCTTTCAACTGCCACGTTGAGAGCCTCATAATTCTGCTTGTGTGAGAAAGAGCTTATTCTTGATTCCTTCTTGTTATCAATCTTTTTTCTTTTAAACTATTAGATCAAACTCTTTATCATCAGAGATTTTTATTTTCCCCTCGCCCGGCCTCTAGCCACAGCACCCGCCCTCATTAATCATCAGTTTTTCTCCACAATTATTTTCTCCTTATTCATGGCCAAGATCCTGTTACTTGGCCCACTGACGTAAGTCCATCAGCATATATCTCAGTGATGAATTGTTGCTAGTTAAGAAATCAACAGAGGCATTTGGTGTCATCTACCAGTCATATGACTTAGAACACAATAAGAAATATCTGTAGAATCATAAATTAAAGATGCCCACAACTTTACTACTGGCAAATTGTGGCTGAAGTTTACACCTGTGAATTTATGCTCAATGGTTTCTTCAGCCAGATTCTGACCATCATCTGCAAGGAAATGTTCTCAGTATTCCAACCCAGCCTATTGACACCACCCCACATGCACAGTAAAGTACAACATACAAGCAGTATAGAAAGCATGTGGGAAAACATCTTTAAAAGGAGTGGGGGCTATTAGCTAATTTCCCCCTATCCCCTAACTCCTAGAATTCCCTAAGGAGCACAGCTGCCTGCAGAATTCTGGGAAATGTAGTCCAGAAGTACAAATCTGGTCATTTTTATCCACGTGTCTCTTAAAGCAATGAGCCCACATTTTGAAACTATAGTAAAATTCCCTCCAGTCAATTAACTGTTTTTTTCTGTTTCTTTAACTATTCCGTCTTAGCAATATATTTAGAAACAAGTGTTAAGTATTTGAGCTTTGTAGGATTTTATTATGTTTAATATATTGTTGTGTTTTATTATTTATGTAAGCTGCCCCGAGTAGACTTTGTCTGGGGGTGGGGGTGGGGTAAAAGTCTAATAAAAGTAAAGTAAAATGGGTTTTCAATTCATTAATTTCGATACTTGGCGGAACGCTTACTCCCAACTAATTCTACCCGTGTCACCCGTGTGAGCCAGGAGGTGAGGCTGAGGAGCCTGACGCTGAGGGAGGCCCGGAAAGAAAGAACTAGAAACCGGGCCTTCTTGGCGGTGGCTCCTCGTCTCTGGAATAACCTACCTCCGGAGATTCACACTGCACCCTCGCTGGCTACTTTTAAGAACCAACTAAAAACATGGATGTATAGTCAGGCCTTCCCTTCCAGTTAATTCCTGTCCTCTTTCCTTTTCTCTCTCTCTTTATTTGATTTATTTTTATTTTTCCCATCTTATAGAATCATTTAATTAATTAATTGTTATAATTTTTTTTAGAACTTGTTATCCTTATGTTGTAAGCTGCCTAGAGTGGTCGAAATGACTAGATAGGTGGGGTATAAATACAATAAATAAATAAATAAAAATAAATAATTAATGGCCTCAGCAGAGCAAGTTTTTATGTTGTTTATGTTGAAGTAGAGATGGGCACGAACCTCTGGTTTGTGGTAGTTCGAAAGACCCACCTCCTCTGGTGGGCACCCACTCAGAAGCAGCACTCAGATGAGGGAGAGCAGGGAAGCCAGGCTGTTACCTCCGAGTGGGTGTCTGCCAGAGGAGGCAGGGCTTTGAAGCTCCAAACACCTATATCGCCGCTAAACGAACCGGCACAAACTGCCAAATCGGCTGTTGGTGTCCTTCTCTAGTATTAAGTATTGTAGAGATCAGTGCGTTTTGGGCTGTGGTATTGTCTCTCTAAAGTACTGAAACGGCACTTCAAATATATTGGAATAGATATGCTTTTACTACGGCTCATAGGAAATGTCTAGTGGAGGGAGACCCTTGAATGGTGCACTGTGGTCTAATGGAGGAACTTCACATGGAATGGGCAAAACTGGCAGTCTTGTGTAAACGTAGGATTTCAGAGATTTTCACTGTTTAAACAATAAGTGCAAATTTAGGCTGAACCCTAGATGACTAATTGATTTGACCCAATTCAGTCCAATTTGTTTGAGATCATACTGAAGCAGAATGGTCCAAACTCACTTCTGGGGTGGAACAAAAGGGTCTGAAGCAGTTTGGCCAGATCGAGCAATTTGGGCAATATGAGTGAATGCAAAAAATACAGACTGCTGGGAGGAATGAGAAATGACGTTGCGGCAAAAGGCATCTTCTTTGGGTGAAGAAACAAACTTATTGGAATGGATCTGGTGGCAGGTTTTTGGCTACATGGAAAAAAAGAATTACATGCACATCATATTTGTTCAGTTGCTCAGTGTATTACTTTTCAGTTGTGAAGGACTCTAGTTTGATCCACAGTGAATTCAATTTAGAAGTTTATGATTTATACAAATATCAAATATGTAGCAGTTATCTTGATGCTTTGACTTGGTAAAAGATACAACTTTATAAAAGATTTCCTTTTGCAAGACAGAGGTATTCTTAGTCTATAATTGCACAAAGCCTATCTATAGTTCCACATACAAAGATTTAAGTTCTGGTCTTGCATATGATTTGATATAATTTCCATAGGGTATGTGGTAAATACCCACAGTATGTTGTGTATATTACTTCCCACTTTATATAATGACCATGATCCCAGAGTTGTGATTGTTCATGTAAGAATTTCCCATTTTCTGTGGTGAGTCTCTATTAATATCAGAGGGATGTTCTGCTGAGCCATTGAAAAATATATGTGGACACCAGTGGAACATTTCATAGTAGAAGCTCTGTGTTGTATGTAGTTTGGTTAAGGACTGGAGTACAAAGCACTGAGTCATGAGGTTTAATGAATATATTCCCAATGTGTTTCTTCTCACTACCAAATTTAAAACTACTTATGTAGCTGTTAATCATTCACTCTCTAAATGTGTTAAACTAAAACGTCTTTCATCTTCAACCAAACAGGGCCATGCCAAGTGGGAGTTGCATTCCAGTGCATCTGGACGGTGCTTGGTTGGGGGAAATTACCATACATTGTTATAGTGGGTTGTTCTGAAAATACAGTAATGCTCTTTAGTTTATAGTTTTGCTTGATTAATTCTCTTCATGCACCTCCAGTCACTTTCAAAAACTTCTGTAGAAGTTGGGAAGCCCCTCAGTATGTAGAGTTTGGGGAAGAATGGGAAACTGTGGGGGTGGGGAGAGGAGTGCAAGGCAGTCCTGCCATGGTAGCTGACATTAGACTTATGTGAAAATGTGCCAGTGGGTTCAGTTTGTGTTGCATAGTTCTAGCTGTAAACTTGAGTAACTATATCTTAAGATAAGTAATTGTTTTGCTTAGGCAATTGTTTTGCTTAGGCAATTAATCAGTAATTTAATTCTATACAACATGGCATAGAATGCAGTTCTGACGCAAGTCTTGCATATTTTCAACATTCTCATTTCAAGACTTGCAGTGGTCATGGGCAAATGCTTATAATGAGATTGCATCATTCTAACAGTGCAGTGTCACAAAACCTGAAATTAAATTGCAGTCCTAGCACTATCAGACATACTAAGCTGCTGCTTTGTGGTCTCTGATTCACACCAATGGGATCTTCTGCACCTCTGCAGCGTTTCCTCAAGGAAAAGGAAGGAGACTAATGCTCATGCGTAATCGGGAGAACTTGAACTCCCACCAAAGCTCTACTGCTCAGTTATGAGAGACTCTGAGGAAATACTGCACAAGTACAGAAGATCCCATTGGTGTAAATTCACAAATGACCATTCAAAGAAACACAGTTACAAGGAAAGCAAAGTGTGCTGCTTATATACTGCCCCATAGCACTTAAATAACTCTCTGTGCTGTTTACAGTTTAATTATGCAGGCTACATATTGCCCCTTCTCCAGCAAGCTGGATACTTAGTTTACTGACCTCAGAAGGATGGAAGGCTGAGTGAACATTGGGATTGAACCTGAGTCGTGAGCAGTTTTGGCTGCAGTACAACAGTTTAACTTCTGCACCATGAGGCTTCTGTCCTTCACATGGCGTAGAATTCCCTTTGTTTCTACTCCATCCCAGGGCTCTTTCCCTTCTGCTCTGCTCTCCCTTCATCCCACTAAATCTGGTACACTTTCTTTCCCATGGGCCAAAGGGTTCTTCCCCTTTCCCCCATTTTCTTTCTCTCCCCTTATCTACCCAGGTGCTCCTTTCTTTCAAGGTGATTTCCCGTATCCCAGTGATGCTCTTCAGTTTTTCTCTCTTCCCTTCCCCCAAACTTTCTCTTCATCTTTCCCTCCATCCACCCCAGTGTCTTCCTTCAGCTCAGTTCCTTCCCCCAACCTTAACTTCCCTCCTTGTTGAACAGTTTGAGGGCCCTTCCTAGTGAAACAATATCCATGCCAAGCAAATTGTTTTTTCTACTGTGCCTCTGGCCCTCACTGAGGTCCCAAGAAGTCCTCTGGAGAAATGTATATTCCAGCTTCCTCTATCCTAGTTAGGAACCTCTGCTGCCCAATTAACCCATTGTATAGACACTCTGAGCTGCACACCTCTGGGGTCTTCTTAGTATGTTGTTGTTCAGGGCTATGGTGTTAGTATTTGGAATTTCAACCTTACCATATAGCTGTTACAAAGCACAGATCTGATTTAAAATCAGATGAAATTCACCATGTTTGGGAAGCAGCCATGTGCTTGAAGTTATTTACAAGACAGAAGAAAGATGAAAATTGAGCCAAATCCATCATCTTTTGCATTTCCAGGTAAGGATATCTGGCTATTCCTTTTGTTCTAAGTAATTGATAATATGCATAAACTTCTGTCTTTTGGTGATTATGAGATAGGGGACAGACATTTTGCAATCTGTTAGAGCTAGCTGTAAGTCCCTGTCTTTGAATTCTTAGGATTCACCAGCTTCTAACTCAGTTTGCTAATAAGTGATATGGGAAATGAAATTGTAATCATCTTCTGTTCTCATGTCTTGTGTCACTCTGGAACAGGATGAAAAAGCCTTTGAGGTTTATTGGTTTCACTTGGGAATCTTTTTATCTGCTAACCTTTTACCAAGTCAAAGTTATCACTACATTTTCCACAAGGCAAGAGACTCAACATTATAGTCTCTTATTTGAGCACAGTTTGGCTACCTGTTATATTTAAAGCAGTTGCCTATTTTAGTTTGTCTTCTCTCTGGAAGTGTTTGAGGCCTGTTTCTATATAGCTATGTAGACTCTGCTTGACTCAAAAAGGTCTAATCTCCAATATTAGGATTCTTGAGACATTATTCTAGTTTAGCAGTGCAACATGTGAAAATGCAGAAGCCTGTCTAATTTCTTTTGTTATAGCTTTGGGTGAGGAATGTTGCACAATTCCCACTGGTAATCCCAACTCCTGACTTGTTCTTTGTAGGAGACAAAAGATTACTAAGGGAGAGATCAGAAAGAAATACAGAAAATCGCGAAGATATGATCTACCCCCTTGAGCTAACCACCTCAAAGCAAGGAAAGGGTCCTTACAAACGCAGCTTTGAAGAAGGTGTATCTCAACCCCAAACAAAGAAAAAGAAAATAGATCTCATTTTCAAAGATGTCCTGGAAGCTTCTCTAGAGACAACAAAGACAGAAGATCATAAAGTCACAAGAAATTCTACTCCTGCCACGAGGAAGTCCTCCAGATTCCAAGTTCAAGATGCCTCGGAGAGCAGTGGGACTGGTATTCAACACAGCTCTCCAAATCACAGTAGGAGCAGAAATGAGGGTGAGTGGAAGGTTCCCCGTGGCTCCTCTTTCACTGTATCCAAAGATATTGCCCTACTGGAAGATGAAGGTGAAGAACCCTTGTCCTTTAAAATGAACAGCCCCACTGATCTCTCTCTGGCATCAACTCAGGATGATGCCCTTGAAATCCCAACCACATCACTGTGTCCCAACTGCATTCGGTTGAAGAAGAAGATTCGTGAGTTGCAGGCTGAGCTAAATATGTTAAGATCTGGCAAATTAGCTGAACCACCTCTGCTACCTCCTCAGGTACCTGAATACCAAGCATTTTCATATCCCACAGGTAAGTCATTCACAATAGAAGTATTACTCAAGCACTGTACAAGGACAGTCGCTTTGCCATTCATGTCTAAATATGTTCCAGCTTTGAGTGTTCTGGGAAGTATGTTAATCACTGAAGTCATGTGGTTGGGTTTTATGAAACAGAAACTTAATCCTGTGAGCAAATAGTTCTGGGATTGTGTATGTAATGACGAAATGCATTTCATTTTACTGTAATCCATGCACTTTCAATAAAAAAAATCCATTGCAGCGAATTTGTTTGCTGTATTCTTGATGCATTCCCTTTCAAAGAGAAAGAATAGCATGCTGCTCTCTAGGAGGTATGATTGGTTTTCTAGGTTGGATGTGAACGATAAAGGCTCATGATATGTGTGAATTAAATAATGGGCATTTTTCCCTTTCTTGAATTCTACAGGAACTTGTTCTTTACGCTGCTGATTTAATTCAAATGTATGTTTCTTTCTGAAGAATTCTCTAATTTCTTTCAAGAACCTGTCTCAGTATCTTCTGTAAACCTGAAAGTAGTTAAGAGCAATGGATGGAGAGTTGCTTGAGCCCAACATTCACCCTTGTAGTGTGCTGGTTTTGGTGAAAAATAAATGTATATGTAGTCAGAGGCTGTTTGCAGGATAGAAATTCTCTTACCGTTTGGTGCTATTTCTACTTCAGATTTTCTCCATTTTAAATATTTGTTTATTTATTTTGCAGCTTCAGACAGCATCATGTCTGTGCCCACCATCATGGAGGATGATGACCAGGAGGTGGATTCAGCAGATGAGTCAGTCTCCAATGACATGATAACAGCCACAGATGAGCCCTCCAAGATGTCTGCCGTCACCAGGAGGATCCGGCGCTTCAAGCAAGAATGGCTCAAGAAGTTTTGGTTTCTGAGGTACTCCCCTACGCTGAACGAAATGTGGTGCCATGTTTGCCGGCAATATACCGTGCAGTCTTCTCGGACTTCAGCCTTCATCATTGGCTCTAAACAATTTAAGATACACACTATAAAGCTTCACAGCCAGAGCAACCTCCACAAGAAGTGCCTGCAGCTGTACAGGCTCAGAATGCACCCAGAGAAGACGGAAGAGATGTGCCGTAATATGACTTTGCTCTTTAACACAGCTTACCATTTAGCTATGGAAGGCCGGCCCTATTGTGACTTTCGACCTCTTGCAGAACTACTGAGAAAGTGTGAACTCAAAGTGGTGGATCAGTATATGAATGAAGGAGACTGTCAAATCTTAATCCATCATATCGCTCGAGCTCTGAGAGAGGATCTTGTTGAGCGGGTCAGACAGTCTCCTTTCCTGAGCATCATTTTGGATGGGCAGAGTGATGATTTACTGGCTGACACTGTTGCCATTTATGTACAGTACATCAGTAGTGATGGGCCTCCAGCCACCGAGTTCCTTTCTCTTCAGGAGCTGGGCTTTTCTGCAACAGATAGTTATGTTCAAGCATTAGACAGGGCTTTCACCTCAGTGGGAATAAGGTTGCAGGATGAAATGCCAAGTGTTGGCTTGGGAGTCGATGGTGCTAACATTACTGCCAGCGTTAGAGCTAATATGTACATGACAATCAGAAAGACTCTGCCTTGGTTGCTCTGTTTACCCCTTATGGTACACAAGCCACACTTGGAGGTTTTGGATGCAATTAGTGGAAAAGAACTTCCATGCCTGGAGGAGCTAGAAAACAACCTTAAGCAGTTACTCAGCTTCTACCGTTACTCCCCAAGACTGATGTGTGAGCTGAGGGTTACTGCTGCTACTCTGTGTGAAGAGACAGAGTTCTTGGGAGACATTAGAGCAGTCAAGTGGATAATTGGAGAGCAAAATGTCCTCAATGCTCTGATAAAGGATTACCTGGAAGTAGTGGCCCATCTTAAAGAAGTCAGTGGGCAAACACAAAGAGCTGATGCCTCTGCCATTGCCTTGGCTCTCCTGCAGTTCCTTATGGACTACCAGTCAATTAAGCTGATCTACTTCTTGCTGGATGTAATTGCTGTACTTTCACGTCTTGCCTTTGTCTTCCAAGGTGAATACCTTCTTGTGTCACAAGTGGATGACAAAATAGAGGAGGCCATTCAAGAGATCAGCAGGCTAGCGGATTCTCCTGGTGAATACCTTCAGGAATTTGAAGAGAACTTCCGTGAAAGCTTTAATGGAGTTGCTGTGAAAAACCTACGGGTGGCTGAAGCCAAATTCCAATCCATACGAGAGAAGATATGCCAGAAGACCCAGGTGATTCTTGCTCAAAGATTTGAGCCCCGCAGTCGGGCATTTGTGAAGGCGTGCCAGGTATTTGACCTTGCCACTTGGCCAAGAAATGCAGAAGAGCTTATGAGCTATGGCAGGGAAGACATGGTGCAGATAGTTGAGCATCTGGAAGCAGTGCCAACCTTTGCCACAGACGTCATCAGAGAGGGCATGGACACCAGAGGCAGTTTGCTGATGGAATGGCGAGAACTCAAAGTGGATTATTATACCAAAAATGGCTTTAAAGATTTAATTGGTCACATTTGTAAATATAGGCAGAGATTTCCTCTTTTAAATAAGATAATCCAGATCCTCAAGGTCCTTCCCACTTCCACAGCTTGTTGTGAAAAGGGACGCAACGCCCTTCACCGAGTGCGCAAAAACAATCGCTCTCGGCTTACTTTAGAACAGCTGAGTGACCTTTTGACAATTGCTGTAAATGGACCACCTATTGCCAACTTCGAAGCCAAGAGGGCACTAGATAGTTGGTTTGAGGAGAAATCTAGCAATAGTTACGCACTGTCTGCAGAGATGTTAAGCAGAATGTCCTCCCTGGATCAGAAACCAATGCTGCAGAGCATGGACCATGGATCGGAATTTTATCCTGATATTTAGCAAGAATGCTTCTCATTCTGAAAGCTGTTGGATCTTTCTCTTTTTTTAAAAAAATCAATACTCTAAGCTTTGATATGCTATATGAAATATATATATATATTATATATATATATGTATGTATGTAAACCCCACACTGAAAATTTAAACTTATCTGATGGAAGCTAAGAGGCATTTTTAAGAATGATAAAACACTTAACACTTACTGACATCTTCAACCATGGCAGCTGCAATGTAGGTGGCAACATTTCATTCTTCAGAAACGTGCTGGGGCCATAGTCTTCATTTCAAGCTGAATAGATTTATAAGCTAGATGTGGCAGGCCAATGCCACCCTACTTCTTGCTAGGCTTTTTTGTGAGTGTGCGTCTTTTTTAAAGAAAAAATCTTTGCATTTTCCTCTTTGACATTCAGCCATTGAGTCATTTCATCCCTTATGATTACTGGGATTTCTGAGGCCTGTGCATATGTCTTGGAATTCCTTATCAGTTTCCAGATTTCATCCAGGTTTGAGTAGTTTCTTACACATTCATTCTTCAGATGATTGGGTTGACTTTTTTTGTGCCCTTCTCTCTGAATTACACACCAGTGGGCATTTTCAGCTTAAGGCAATACTCCTGTGAAAACTCTACTAACAAAAGCATATATCTTACAATATTGATAGCATGCTGAGATGAAAATAGCATAATGTAAAAGATGGGAATTTGTGGGGGGAGGATTTTTTTTTCACTTATATTTTTATATAGTAGGACATAAGAAAATTACTTAAAACTCTTTACTGAAAACCTGGGCTGCTGTGGAAGCTAGATGGCCAGTGAGTCAAATCCTGTAATTGGGTAGAAGCTCATTGGCTTAAAATATATGTATCCTAATTTTATGTTATTTATACTTGGTCTTTATAATCATAAATGGGTTGTCTTTTGTCTGTTTTCTTTCTTTCTTTTTGTTTTTTAATAAGTGTAAAAATATGCCTGCTCTATTTCTGTGGCAGGGGATATCAATGCAAGATCTGTCTCTGGTAATTTTTCACATGACAAGATTCTTTTAAAGTTTCACATATCACCCTTTGACTAAGGTTTAAAAGTTCTATCTGATAGAATCTGTCCTATGGCAAACAGAAATGGAACATGGCTGTGTATTCCTGTCAACAGTTTCTTTCAAAGAGTGGTGCAGCAGAGTCTGGCAGAAATGTGAAACTAGGACTTGCAAGCTCAGATAATAAATGCATTTGTGTAGATTTTTTTTTTTTTGGACTCCAGTGTTTCAGGTTAAAGAACCCCAAATGAGCACAAACTCTCCACACCTGACTGTGCCATGGTCTAATAAATATGCTGTGGGATAGCACCATAGTCATACTAGGTGATCACAGGAGTGAAAGGTCTCTCTTTTGCTGAGAAGAACTACTAGGATGGCATGTTCCCAGTGGGACTAAAGTCATGCCAATCTGCATTATTTTAAAAAAATACCGTAATGATGTCAGTTACACTGAACCTTTTCCCATTCCCTTCCCACACTCCCCATTTTCTCCCATCCTTTCCCATCCGTCTTGGTGCTAAAATATCTCTGGAACCATTGCTGCTAGAACATAGCTTTTCATTTATATAAATACCTAATTTTATTTTTCAACAGTTATCATGTTTTTCAATTATAACGTAGCACACTGTTAAAGCCGTATGTCTTGCAATATATCTACACCTATGTCCTTTATTCTTTTTCACTTCAACGTGTCCCTTATTGTCCCAGTAATAACCTTAGCATTGTTCTCATACGTATGTAATTCTTCTTACTGTGTTCAGGATTCTACACTTACTTTTTAAAAGAATTAATGTGATGTACAAAAGAACCAAGAAAAAAGGCACAGGACCTTGATAACCATCTCCGTGTGGTTCTAAAATAATGTCAGTTGTCAAGATAACTTATGCCAGCCAGTGCTATACAAAAAGGAGTGAAAGTAGCTAAAGAGTTTAAGAAGTTGCTTCTAATAAACGCACAAGAATACTGTAAGAATTTTTCTTAAAGGGAAAAATGTTACGGAGTGAATGAGGAGTGGGGGTGGAAGGCAAGACGTATATTTCTTCATCTTAATTGCACAGACTGTATTAATTTCTGTCATGCAGTTTTCACTTTCCTGCCAGGGCTGGGAAGGGGGAGGAAGTGGAAAAGGAATTGAAACAATCAGGAAAAGGAAACAAAGAGTGCAAGGTGAAGTCCTCCTTGTTACTCCATGTACAAAAAAATAATCATAATAACTGGTGCTGAGTTGCCTTTAAGTCAGCTCCACTGTCTTGGGTCCATTCTTTACCTTCTCACTCCACCTCCCTTCCCTGCATCAGTGGTGGGGGACACATGGAACTCTGTGTCTGCTTTGCTTCCCAGATGTCTTTCCCTTTTTATTTTGCAAGTGGCCATTTTGACTTTTTGGACATCAGATATTCAACTGCTCAGTGTTACCCACTTGGTGGTGAAAATAGCGAGTAAGACTGAAGGAAGGAGAATAGAACAGTGCTTGACAAAATTGTAAGAGTACCTCATTTTAAACATTTTTATTGCAGTTGTAGTGCTATGGATATCAGAGCCCCAACAACCAATGCATTGGATATTTTTTTACAGGACTATATCACAGCACTTTCGTGAGCATAGCATACAGTTGATAGGAACTGATTTGGCCAAAGGCAATCACATACCATAGGCAGTAAGAAGGCAGCCTTGTCCCATAATGCTTTACACCGCTAAAAAGACTATTCAGTTTGACATTTGGTCAAGTAGGGAGTTAGCAGTTATTACTCACTGAAACAAGTCATAACTGCTGGTTGTGCAACCTGCTTTTTCATACATTTTTTTCTTCATTTTTTCTCCTAATCAGTGGCCTGCTTCTATAATTTCTTGACAATTGTATTTGGTCATCGTTTGGACCCTGTAAATTATCTCTGGCCCCAGTACCTCCGCTAGATAACATCAGGTTAAAATAATTGCTTTAACTGGCTGATTTTTGAATGGGGCCCATAAATAATAGGAGCCATTCACCAAAATAATTCTTAAAATAGAAAAAAGATAATTTATGGGATTTAGAAAACAGTTCCTCCTATATAAAGTAGTGTTTTAGCAAAGTGCATAAACTATATACAGCAGATTTAAAATATGATTTATATTAGGAAACAAATATTTGTCCAAGAAAGGTCACATGCAGTCCTTGAAACATGTCTATATCACCATGGACTACATAATCTGCAATTCATTTTACGTCTTTATTATTAGACTCAAAAAGAAGCATTTTACTCGAATTCATGTTGTCCTTAACCAGGATAGTCAGAAGCTATTGATTTAACATTAATGAGCCCATCTTGATAGCTCCCTGCCAATGGTTGTTCTTTGCTAGTTAATAAGAAAAGTCGGCACTTTGCTTTTAGCTTAATGTATTCCAGGAGGCAAGTCAGATCACTTGTTGTATAAAATGTTCTGTGCGAAAATGTGTATAAAATGGAAATTCAATATTTGCTATAAATAGAAAAGTACCGTATTTTTCCATGTATATGACCCCCCAATGTATAAAACAGCGCCCTAATTTTGACCCTTGCTGGAGGCGGGGGAGCAGTTAATGGGCAACTGCTCCTCCACCTCCATCTCTTCTGCTGCTGCCTGCGCTGCCCGCCCGATCACCTCCAGTGTGACTGCTTTGCTTCCGCCTCCTGCTGCCTCCGCTGCAGGGGACAGTGCAGATGTCAGCTGGAGGCGAGTCAGTCCCACTGGAGGAAGTGATCGGCTGATGGGGGAGGCCTGGAGGTGGGGGAGTAGTTAATGGGCAACTGCTCCTCCACCTCCATCTCTTCTGCTGCTGCCTGCGCTGCCCGCCCGATCACCTCCAGTGTGACTGCTTTGCTTCCGCCTCCTGCTGCCTCCGCTGCAGGGGACAGTGCAGATGTCAGCTGGAGGCGAGTCAGTCCCACTGGAGGAAGTGATCGGCTGATGGGGGAGGCAGCAGCAAGAGGCGCCCGCGTGCACATGTGAGTGCTCCTTTGCCTCTGCCTCCTTAAAACAACCTTCAATTTTTTTTCTAATTTTAGGAAAAAGTGTTGTTTTATGCACACCTTCTAATTTTAGGAAAAAGTGTCGTTTTATACACAAAAATACGGTATTTCTCTGAATGCTTACTCTTCTCCCAGCTGTGGCATTTTCAGAGCAGTCTTGTAACTTTGGCCATCCTATAAATAAATCAGGGCATAATCCAGGCAGAAATTAAGCAAATTTAAGTCATCTTTGTTTCAGTAGAGAAGACAATCACATGCTCAGTTCATTCAGTTTAAAACCTGTGGTCCTTAACTTTGACCTGATCCTACTCGTGTATCTTCTGGGACATTTAAAAAAACACCACCATCATTGCACTGTTATCTGTTCATGTGTAAATAGTTAATCTAGATCGGTCAAAACTAGACTGAAGTTTTCTAGGAATGATTTTACATTTATGGTCTTAAATTAGTGATCTTCCAGAAACTGTCTTTCTGTTAAATACATAATGAGTTTCCACAACAGGGCTCCAAACTGTAATTCCGCCCCAATATAATCTACCATTCACAATCCAGGTTCTCAGCACTGGATGGAAAAATAGGCAGTGTTCCATCTCAGAAATTGTATCACTTCCAAAATATATCTTTTAAATATGCTAGCACTATTAAATTTCTGGAAGCTTCTTACCATGGTGTTACGAGTGCTGCTTGTTTTAGTGACATGAAAAGATAAAAGAGATTCCATCCCCTTACACAGTTATGCAAATGCTACATGTGATCCTGGCCCAAGAAGCTAACTGATAATACTATGCAAAACACAATTCATTTGTTCTAGCTAAAAAATAAATATCATTTGATAAGCGTTCTGATGGATAAAGATATGATGCAGACTTACCACGTGTCTAGTTAAACTTTGTTTAACGTGGATCACATTAGCAGGAGCAGTAGAACACACAGAGTTCCAGTAGCACGGATGCCTTAAAGCCAGTTATACTAGAATGATAGATGACAGTTGAAGTGAAATTACAATTGTATTCCTGGGTGGAAAAGCATTATATTGCCATTGCCATTGCATGTCACTTCTGGTGGAAGTTTAACATTGTGATAATTGCTCTAGATAGAGTGTTTGTCTGTCCTCACTTCTTGTTATGCACTAGCTATGCATTTGAGAGCTAAGCTTAACTGACTGAGCAACACACAATCAGACCAAACTAGAGGCTTAAACATGTAGTAACAAATCAGGGACACCAGAAGACACCAAGTTATCAAAAATGTTTGTGGATGCCCAGTGTAGCGCAGAAAACAAGCAAAGTGCATTTGCCTATTTATTCTTTCATGCATGGTATTTTGTCAAAATGCCTTGTGCAGGTTTCTTCTGCAGTGAGGTGGAGATAAAATGACATGAACTGAAAGATCTAGTTCTGGGGAAACAGTTGAATCAGGCATCCTGTTATATTCAGAAAAGAGGTTATTGTTATGTATATGTCATAATTTCTAAATGGTAACTGATACTGTTTATATTGTCAAATGTTTCCACTGTATTCAGCATCTGACTGTGTCTGATCTCTGCATATCGACCTCTGTACCTTGAATCCCTACTGAGACTTCAAACTCCTAATGGGATCTAATTTCAGACTTCACGACTATCTTAAACTCAGGCTCTTCTTAACCAAACACCAATATAACCTTGCATGCAGTCTGCCAGTGGTGCACAGAATCAAGTTTCTATGGCCATAAAGCCAACCACAACAGGCATTAGCCTAGTGAAACAAGAAACCAAAGCTCTTCCTGCATTAATGAAAGCACAGTGAGGATAATGCAAATGTGTACTCTTACTTAAGCCTGGTTCTAGCACTTTTTTTCATTGAAAATACAGTTGTGTTGCAGGCGCCTATCCCTTTGCTGGGATGGGTTCTCAAGGACCATTCTAGCATTGGGTGCTGCAGCAGAAATAAGGCCACTAAGAGGCATTTCACATAATGTTCCTACTTAAAATGTTTCTACCAGCAAGTTGGGTTGGTGTGTACAGCAAGAGTTGATGCCTGTTTTGCCCTATGGGCTTAGAATTCAAAGTCAGAATTTCTCTATTCAGCAACAAAAATGTCTCTTAAATAGTAGAATCATGGTATTCTGTTCCTCAGCCTTTGTTATCTCACTCCAGTAATAGCTATGCAATTATTTCCCTTTAGAATCAAGTAATATGTGTCTGCATGAAACCTGATTTATGTATACAATACCTACCCATGTAATGTGCAATCCAAAGAAGTCAATGGGACTCAACCCTTTAAAATCCTATTGCTTTCTGCAGGACTTCTGCACAACCACCTTTCTTTGGATTGCACACACTGGACATGATCCGGCTAAAGCAAAGCACTTCCAGGTCCTACAGATTTCAATGCAAGAAAGTTGTGTGCATGCTCCACTCTTCCATTGAAATTAGTGGAACAAAAGACTTAAACTTTGGCTGAGCTGTTCCCATAGCATGTATATGGCATGTCCACATATGACAACCCATGTAGACCATGTCATATAAGAAGTAAATCCACATGCCTATATATCATTGTATAAATAAAAGATTATATATTTATATATGTTTATGTTTTCACGAGATATAAAAATGAAATTTACAGAGAGGATGGATTGCTGTGATTGGAAGGCAGATATTGTGTTTATGTGAGAGGCATAGACTACAGAGGACTAAAACCCATGAGACTTCATTAAAGCTAAATGCAATGGGTTTTTTAAAGTTTTACTCTGATCTTTTGCCTGTAGAGAATCTGTTAAAAAATATTTTGCTATGGCATGGTTGGCAGTGGACTAAAGAAAGCCCATGCAACAAGACTGGAACCATCTTGTGATAAATAATGATAAACACATACCTGTTGGTATTATGTAGACTGCAGATGCTGGTGTTCTCACTTTGTCAAATGTGTATCTGACCCACGTGTGCACTTCTTCTCTCCACTTGCATTGATTTCATGGGTAAAGGTTGAATGACAGATTGTGCTCTCCCACCTCCACTGATACTGCTTGGTGCCCAGCAAAGCAAAATGGTATTTGAAATACAATTTAGGCATAGGTCATATGTGTATAAGTCTCATTGGCTTCAGTGGCACTTACTCATGTAGGTACGAGTAAGGACACATTTGTTTGTAGAAGGAAAATGTGACTTAAAATTGAGGGAGGATGGTGTCTGGAGATGGTTTGTGGTATAAGGAAAAACCTCAAGAGTGCAATGTTAAATAGGCGAATGTATTGAGTTGGGGAGTCATACCACAGGCATTCCCTATATATGCCATTTTGCTATTTTCTTGCTTACTGACACCCTCTTTGGTTCCATTTCACAGAGCAGCTACTTTTTCATTGTTAACAGAGCAAACTGGTTCAATGTCTAAATGATTTTCAGAATGGACAGTGGATTTGTGTCAACATGCAAATGATGCCGAGTTAATTTTAGTTGCGTTGTCAGGAGGCATTATGAATTGAACCACTCCAGCACAACACTCTTAAAAATAATGTTATCCTTTTTTGAAATACGAATGGCAGAATCATGCATCTGATGCGGATCCAAGCCACAGTTTTTATAGCTCATCCTATGTGAAATGCTGAGAGGTATTTGAATGACAGCACCCCTTTCTTTGCTCTGATTTGGACAAAGCCATTTGGATTCTGCAGCTGAATTGTTTTTGTACTGTTGTTCAGGCAGGCAACATAAGCATTAAGATAGCCAGAGTCTGTTAATTCAATGCTAGGAAGGGGAAAAATATAAAATTTTGAACTTCCAGTCATGCAGGCACAATGTAATGCCTTATGCAATTTTTACTGTCATTATTATTGCTGTTGGGAGGCTGGTGTGGAGAATGCGGGAATCATGTTTCCTCAACCATGTGACTACTTGCACTGGTGTTGCACAGCTTTCAGTTGAGCAAGCTTGTGTCACACACCTCTGACAATGCAGTTTTGTTTATATCCTCTTGTAATATGTCAGGGCTTTGCCACCACACAACTCTGGAAACCCACCTCAGTTACAAACCTTAGCCTACCTGATACCCTACATGCTTCAGGACTGTAACGTATAAGCCCATACAAGAATGGCTACCTAGAAAACATTTTCCTCAGGACTGAACCTCATGGATAATTACCTTCTCATGGCTACTGGACTCTTCTCTGGCCCGCATGCTGCCAACAAAGCACCCTCACTCTGTACTGAAATCCCTCATGCACTGCACCTCATGTATAGAAATCTCCTCAGCCAAGGCTGGGGAGGCACATCACACAAGCTGTAACTGTAGAAATGCAACGAAGAGGGCTGCTGGATTTCTCCTATTCAGGCATCCTCACATAACTCACTTTACAAAAATCAAGGGGGTTAAAAGTGGCCCCTCCTATTTTGCCTTTTTTCCTCCCCCTCACAAGCCCAGTCCCAAACTGTTAGTTTGACCCTGCACACATGTAAATGAGGGGAGGGTAAGAAACAATCTAGAAATCTATTATTACATATGTATTAAAATGTTAATATCACACTTTTTTCTGACAATGTTTAAAAAAATGTTATTTACGGACAATGCTTTATAGTACCTGTGTGAGGGGGCTAGGACACTGGATACGAATAGAGCTATGTTGATATATCATAGTATGTACACGAGAACTTTCCTTTTGTCATACATTATACTTGTAATGTAAAATGATTATTAATAAAAAAATTGTTTACTAATGTTTATCTTGATATTAACTGTTTATCAGGGTGTGTCTCTATTTTACCT